CATTTTTAATCCATAGGGGTTTAATATGATTTCGGCCCAGCTGTTGCAGCTTTAACAGCCTTTACTCTTCTGTGAAGGTTTTCTACAAGGTTTAGGAGTGATTATGGGAATTTCTGGTCATTCGTCCAGAAGCTCATTTGTGAGCTCAGACACTGATTTTTGCACAATTTTTGCTCACAGTTCCCCCTCGAATTCACCCCAAAGGTCATCTACTGGGTTGAGGTCAGGACTCTGCGCAGGCCAGTCAAGTTCATCCAGACCACACTTGTTCGTCTTCATGGACCTCGCTTTATCCACTGGTGTGCAGTCACGTTCCCACAAAGCTGGGAGCATGATATAGTTCAAAATGGATTGGTATGATGAAGCATTAAGAGTTCCTTTCACTGGAAATAACTCCTGAAAAACAACCCCACACCATAATCGCCCCTCCACCAACCTTTATACCTGGCCCAATACAGTCCGACAATCACCGTTCTCCTGGAAACAGCCAAACCCAGAATCGGATTACCATCGGATTACCAGACTCCACTGTTCTGGAGTCCAGTGACAGCGTGCTTTACACCACTGCATCCGACACTTAGCATCGAGTTAGATGATGAAAAGTGATTGTAACTTTTTTTTAAGCACCTAAAGCAGTTAAGTCAAGGAAATAACTCAGTCACCAGACTTGCTGCTCATGCAGTATACTGGGAGTATGCAAACTTGTACACAGTGCAGCCTTTACTCACAATGCGGCTCCATATCGCCCCCTGTCTGCTCTGCATGTCAGGTGTCAGGCGCACCTGCTCGGTGGTTACCATGGCATCGCCCATCAGCTCCCAGTGGGAGGAGCTTGAGGAGCCCACACCTGGTAAAACAATCAGCACCCATTATAATGGCAGCAAAACACAGCTCACTGAGCCTGAGATCAAAGTGCTTTGTCAGTGAGTGGGAGGGGGACACGCGCATGAAAGATAAGAAAGCACAAAATATATACCGAGTATGTCACTATGACAATGCCACTAGACGAGTTGCGTGAGAAATAGAGTGATTTCATCTCAGAAAAGCGGCTAGTGCGTGCACGAGTTCATGAGTGAGTACATTATTCTGGAAATATCTGTCCTCGCCCCTCAGCCCGCGCCCCCTCCTGTACCACAGGTACCTTGGTAAGGCTTGGAAAGGGAATGCTCCCGCTTCAGGAACTCCTCCATTTCGTGGTCATCGTCGGCAAAACACAGGCTTAGAGTAACAACCAGAAAAGCGATTGTCCAGCGAAATTTCAAAGGCATTTTCTTCCCTTTGCATGTAAAACCGAGCAGTAATTTGGAGCCACTGTAGAGACTGCTGCTGCTGGCGGCGGCCATCGTTGCTCTAAACCCAGCCCACTGAACCGTCACCTTCACTCCCATTGGTCCGCTGGGTTGCATGGCTCGTGACCATTGCTCGGTTTAGCTGTCAATCAAAAGAAATGGTTTTGACACGCTATAGGACTATACAGTTGTTTTAAATAATTAACGGGATCGTATACTGTGGAAATATTATTCTGATCGTCACATTTAAGCTTCAAAGACTTCACAAGACTTCACAGCATTCGGGAGACCTTTATGGATTAAAGTGCTTACTTTGTGCATTATTTGACTGTAGAAATATATTTATTCATATTAGAAAAGGCTGAAAGCAAATCTGGATGAATTAGACAGCTCAACAAACACTGGAATATAATCCAGTGACGCTCTCTGGCAAACAATAATATTTCAGACTTCACCCAACATTATTACTGCCAATTCCCCACCCATACTGACAGATCTACTCTTCGGACCTGTTTTGTGTGTATCTGCTTCTGGTTGTGTTGGCCTGTCTCATATCAGGTTGCTTTTGTGTATTTTTATTTATTTATTTATTTATTTTTTGCATGTGTCACTTGTTTACATGACTGATGGCACTCGCTCGTGTGTGTGGCTCAGATGTGTTTCACACCCCTGTCCATATTCAAACCTCTCTGCACTTTTCATAGCGGCTTTGTCATTTCAGATCACGCACTGGTTTATGAAGATGCCAAGTTGCACACTGTAGCAGGTTAGGAGCAGGGATACATAAATAATTGCATCAAAAATGAAGTATTAATGGATTTCTCAGGGTTTATGTATAAGACCACACCACATACATCACACATACATACACCTCTTTCATATTGATTTTTGATTTATTTATTCACTGAACTTTCTTTAGGTTAATATAAATCAACAAATAAATGATGGTGTGATTCAGTTACAGTGAATTAGATCCAACTGTATTCCCACTTTAAAGACTCAATAGTTATATAGAGTTTGACGTATATTTTACTCCAGAACATTTGTACTTTCAGTAAAAGTCTGTTTTTATAGACTCTACATATACTGTGGTGTTACAACTTATAGAACATAAATATAAAGATAGGATACTATATTTTAGACAATTTAATGCTCCCATAAAGGTCCACAAAGACATCTGTATAAAGTATAGAATTTAGGATTCGATACTACTTCCACAGCTTTAAAAAGCTGATCATCAGTATTTCATCACAGCATTTGTGCACTGTTTATTGAAACAGCTCTTTAATATTGTTCTTGCTAGTCTCTTTATGAACACTATTAAGACTGGAAAATAAGCAAATACAGAAAAATATCTAACTAAAATTTTAAAAATGTAAAGAAAATTGTAAAAGAAATATTCTAGCAGTGACAACAGACAGATGTGTGGCATTTCCCTGTAATCTGCAAGCCCAAGGCAGGAGACCTGAGTGATGGACAGACATAACAACATAGCTAATCTTCTGGCTACACAGAGACGACCACAAAGCATAAAAACATAGCACACCCAGCATGCAGCAGCTACAAGTTAGCACAAAAAAATAAGGAAATTTGTGTGTGATCGATTATTTATTTGTTGTGACGATGTTTTTTGGCAATAACTCTTATACTGTTTAACAGTCTGTTTTTTCCTCTTAAATGATGCCACATTTGTCGCATCAGAAATTGGGCACAACCTGTTCCAACTTCTCTCCTCTGGGAGGCGCTACAGAGTACACCAAAACAAGCAGCTTCAAGTACAGTTTCTTTCCACAGGCTGTGACTGTGATGAACATTTAGAACAGTCATTTAGTGTGAGTGACTGTGTTTTTATACCAAATTATTTGCTATTTATTGGCTGACAATTACAAGTCGTGGAGACATTTTTCAAACCAATCCTTTACAAAAAGAAGCAATAAAACACTATGAAAACACCTCACCAAACATAAAATTATATAATTGTAAAATTGTGCACAAAGTATCAAAGTAAAAATATTATTCTGCAGAAAAATGTCCTCTATCAATGTTTTTAAATGAGCTTTTTAAAAATTATTTATATTATGTTTAATGTTCAGCATTAGACCAGCGTGTGACATGGTTAACAGTCATCTACAGGGGTGATTAAGGAGGAGAGAGAGCAAATAAATCTGTTTAACATCTGATCTTTGGGTTTTTGTTCAGTAATCAGCGTGACCTGTGTATAAACAAAAACATCATGAAGTCTGTATGTGTTTCATAGTGTCGAACAACCTTTGTACAGTTAAAGCCAGCAGTTACTACATGACGGAAACACCAACGTTATCTCTTTTATGC